ATGAAAGTGAGGACACAAGGCCGTCGTCTATTGATTCCGGTAGCAGCCCGCAACGGGGTCGAGGGCGTAGCCCAAACCCGAAGCGTATGCTTTCCGATCATCACGAAAACATCATCATCCAGGATTCTCGTAACCTCAGAAAGGATGCCAAACATATGGCTGATGACCGCTCCTCTCGAGATTCCGATCAGCAACATGTGCGATTCAATTCCCCCGGCCGTCGCTACCGTGACGAAAGTTGCTCGCCTAGAGGCGGGTATCATTCTCCCCGAGAACAGCCTTGGAAAGGAGAGCCGCCACGAATTATCCAGGCCGCAAGACCTAGTGTCCGTCATGTGCGCGGCACTGCGCCCCGACGAGATAATTCTTATGATATCAGACCCAGTCGCTCCGACAAGCCCCTTGAGCGAGCAAGATTAGACGACGGCCATCGTGAGCGTGACGTTCGAAGAGATAATGATCGATTCAAACATCTTGAAGAGGATCTACGACGGCGCCGTGAACTTAAAGAGAGGCGAGAAGATGGAAGGCCCGACGACTACAAGTACGCTGACCCTGAACCTCGCTGGAGTAATCGACGGGCTCGAGAGTATATGAGCCACAGGGAGCCACGCTATTCACGACAGCATCATGAAGATCGTGAGGCTTTCGGGAGATATAGTGGCCGACGAGACTGATAGAATGAGTCGACAGTCTCTTGATTGCAATTGCTGTGCTTTTACATAATGTTTGAATAGGATCAGTTCGCTTAAATGAAATACGGAATGGACTATATGACGTTAAGGTCTGGAAATGGCGTTTTTATCGTTTCAAAGGGATGAAGCTGAGTTGATGATTTGGTGTCGTCCTTACCCCCTATCCTGGAGCTAAAAATGAATATTATGATGACAAACAATTTCAGTGCCAATCATTAATTGTGCAAAGGGCTCGTTTCCGCCTTGTTTAACATCAAGCTTGAGTTGTATGCATGAACGGCAATTATAGACCACGTGACTAAGCGAATGCCGGTAGTGCGTTAAGTGAGGGGTGTCGCGCCTGGAACGCGTCGGGCAGATACTGTATTCATGTGAAAGGCATCTTCATTCGTCGTACCTGACTGACCAGGTTCGGGGCCGAGACGCGTCCTTATCTTGCAGGAAATCACAGTCTAATATGACAGGACCGTGGGGTACGGATACTTCCTCGATAATCTCGCCTTCGCTCAACTGAGCATCGCAACTTCCTGCCTCGCTTTTCTTTTTTTCTTTTTTTTAATCCTCCCCTCCTCCCTCGTTTTCCTACCTGCCTAACCTTCAGCTGTCGCCAGTTCACGATATTTTATGAAGGTTGGTATCAACCACCTTCCTTTTCGTTCCTCGCCGGCACGGGCGTTCCTTCTTCGACGAGCTCTGCAACAGCAACGAGTTCAGGTGCACTCAGCTGGTCCGATATATTCACCAAATCTCAACGCAATGCTACAGCGCGCAAACAGCCAATACGAGGCCAATGGCCCTCCTCCCCAACAAAGGGGCCAGCCCAGAAGCCAATCGTTTCTTCCTTCCAGCAGCCCAAGTACTCACAATGCCGATATTCGACAACAACTAAAGAAGTCAAACGCCCCTGCTGTGTCGGCGAGGACCATGCCACCATTCTCCAGACCTCTTCAAAATCGACCTTCTAACATGAACCAACTCTCAAACAATTCTCGACCGCCAAACGGTGTTGGCGGTGGATCACTGGCCTCTCTCTGTGGAGGATCAAACTCATTCGGCGGGCAAGCAGATGTTGTTGATCTCACTGGACCTGAAGCTCACGCAAAGGCCCAAGCAGCGGTCTTCTTTACTGAAGACGACTTTTGTGGCGACGACGACCTAGATCTGGATTTCCAAGCCCCTTCAGCACTACCGCCGCTTCCTGCAAATACCCCATCCAAGCGCATCACCAAGGAGAACATGCCGCCCCCACCGCCAACCTCGACACAGACAGACAAGGCTATACCTTGGTCTTCATCACCACCCTCACATTTCCTACCACCGTCCCGCAATACATCTGTCACTTCAACCATGGCCAATATCTCGATGAAGCGCGATTCTTCTGGTGACCGAGATGACTTTGATGTTCCGGTCCCCAAAAAAGCCAAGAAACGCGTACTGCCCCAAAGTTTCAAGCAGGAAGAACCCGAAGATGAGAGTGATTTTCACTCACAGGTCGCCCAAACACCGAATAACAAGCGGAAAGATTTTCTTAATCCCACAGCGAGCGCTGTCAAGGAACAGAAGAAACAGTTCCGAACTCAGCGTCAGCAAGAGCAACCAACGGCCAGCACCGATCTCTCCATGGATGAGATCAAAGAAGTCTCCACTTCGCATTCCAAGGGCAATTTTGCCATATCGCTGAGTGAAGAGCAGAGACACGTCTTGGATTTGGTAGTGAACAAGAACCAGAGTGTCTTCTTCACTGGTGCGGCCGGAACTGGTAAATCTGTCCTCATGCGAGCCATCATCACGGAATTGAAGAAGAAGTATGCCAAAGACCCAGAACGAGTTGCGGTTACTGCCTCCACGGGACTTGCTGCATGCAATATCGGAGGCATTACGCTCCATAGCTTCTCTGGTATTGGACTTGGCAAAGAGGATGCCCAAGCACTGGTCAAGAAGATCCGAAGGAATCCCAAGGCAAAGAACCGCTGGCTGAGAACTAAATGCCTTGTCATTGATGAGATTTCCATGGTGGACGGAGATTTGTTTGACAAACTGTCTACAATTGGAAGAACGATTCGAAACAACGGGAGGCCGTGGGGGGGCATTCAACTCATTATCACTGGTGATTTTTTCCAGCTTCCACCAGTCCCAGAACAGGGTGCAAAACGGGAGACCAAGTTTGCCTTTGATGCATCAACCTGGACTACCTCCATAGACCACACTATTGGACTTACGCAGGTCTTCCGACAGCGAGACCCAGTATTCGCCAACATGCTCAACGAGATGCGCCTCGGTCGCATAACGGAAGACACTGTTCGAGCCTTCAAAAAACTGGAGCGACCACTCAATTTCAATGATGGACTGGGAACTGCAGAGTTGTTTTCTACCCGGAACGAAGTCGAGATGTCAAATGAAAGAAGATTGAGAGAACTTCCTGGCACGATCAGGCGGTATGAGGCTCAAGATACTGGCAAAGAAGATATTCGGGACAAACTACTGATGAACATGATGGCGCCCAAGAGCATCGATCTGAAGATCAACGCTCAAGTAATGCTGATCAAGAACCTTGATGAATCACTTGTGAACGGATCTTTAGGCAAGGTGATAGGATTCTCCGATGAAAAGACGTTCGACATGGAGCCAATTGATGAATTCGGTGAGGAAGAGAGAATGGCCAAAGCTAGAAAGAAACTACTCAGTACATTCAAGCGCGAATCCGATTCAAGTTCTGGTGGCACCAAATTCCCGGTCGTACAGTTCATGGCAACGGATGGCACGTCACGCGTGATCCTCTGCCAGCCTGAGGAATGGAAGGTCGAATTGCCTAATGGCGAGCTTCAGGCCAAGCGAACTCAGCTGCCCCTGATTCTGGCATGGTCATTGTCAATTCACAAGGCCCAAGGTCAAACTCTTGAACGTGTCAAAGTCAATCTTGGACGTGTTTTTGAAAAGGGCCAGGCCTATGTTGCTCTTAGTCGAGCGACTACACAGGATGGCCTACAGGTTCTGGGCTTTCAAAAGTCCAAGGTCATGGCACATCCTCGAGTCATAGACTTTTACAACAAACTCTACAGTGCCGAGGAGGCACTCGGAAAACCCAAGGCTCAATCTATCACTAGTCTTGTATCCAATCGCATTGGAGCGGCACCCTCGAAAGCACCAGCGCCCTCGAAGTCAACCCACCAGGTGATAGATTTAGACGATGAGGAAGAGGCGATGGCTTCTATGGGATACTGAGTTTCAAGCTGGTGGGGTTACATTTAGATGCTAAAGAGCTTACAATCTATTGATACCATTGTATGATACGGAAGACTCAGTCGAAACGCGAAGTTTCGATAGATGCGAATAACTATGGGAAAGGCGTCAAGGTGTCAAAGGGGCAATTTGGTCGGGATAGACACGCCAAAGGCCTAGTAAATATTGAGACTTGTATGCACCAAGCTATGATAATACAAATGATGAACCGCTCTATTTAATTTTATGACATCTGCTGTGACCATTGGGCCTACATAGTAACGAAACGTTTGCTCGGTTGGCTTCTCATTCAGCACAGACAAGTCGGCTCATGAGCCTGAGCATACCTAGTTAAGGGAAGAGAACCAATCTCATTATAAGCCATCCAATCAAGCGATGCTCACCGTGGTTGCAAACACAAACACAAACACAAGAGAGGCTAAAAAGTAAGGTGCCTTAAGTACCTAGGTAAGTACCTCTAGTAAGGTAGTTACTATACTATAGTTGTGACGCACACCGAGGGAACCACCTTCTTATCGATAACAAGATTGGCAACTTTGTTCCCACGCGAACTTCCCTAGTAGCTTGCCCCATGTTGAAATGGAAGTTCTCCCACCAAGACAAGCCCGCATCACACAACATTAAATCGCGATACGAAAACCCGCCGAAGCGCCTGCAGCAATACCTTATCGCATACGGCATAGAAATCGGAGAGTTCGAGCTTTGCAGCTGTCACTTTTCGCACCTCGCACCATTTCATTGCTAGGCCCCAAGTCTCGATCTCCCCTCGTTTTGCCCCATCCCGCCGCTTCGAAACTCGCCTGAATTCAGTCACTCCGTCGACGAGCCCAACCACCCGGTCCTCTCGCTCCCAGGTACTTCGAAACAAAATCAGTCCTTGTTCACTCAACAAAGTGACACATAAATCTTGGGGTCTCGATTCTGCGCGACTGGGGATTGGTCTTCAAACCCTCGTCAAAAGACGTTAATGACATCTTGACATTGCCGATCTGCCATAGCCAATAATTTGTGCCGAGGAACACAACCCTTTTCCGATCACGTATAAATCGCGAAATCTTACCAATCATGGCAACCCAGTTCATCGGCTTGCATATGCGGGTGGTGTTGAGGGACCCTCCCGGGAGCGAACTGACGGGGACAGTTGGCAATGTCCAGGCAGGGAGCGGCTTAACATTGACTAACGGTACACACAGAATTCTAACCCTACACTTGCAAGAACGATGCTAATGCCCGAGTTGCAGTGTTCGTCTCTGATACCAAACAATGGCTTCCTCACTTGCAGGTCCACGCCGCTAACATCGCCGATCTTGCTGAAGTCAAGAACGACAGTCCAGCGACATATGCGCCTCCTCAAGCCGAACCCATCGCTGCGCCTTTCATTTCGCAACCACCACCGCAACCTGCTTTTGTAGACCCTGCGATCCTAAGTCTGGGGAGACCGCCAGCAGCATTAACGCCGGCAGGCTCCGATTCAAAAGGACCATTGGAGGATGTGAGAGCTGAACTACAAGTCGCTCCTACGAGTGCCGCTGTCTCAACGCCGGGGAGACCCACCCCTGACCACGACCTGACTGGTTCTGTCAGTAATCTAGCCATCAATGAAGCGGTCCAGGAAATGGACAATGGCCAGCCAATTGAAGGACAGGCACCGCGATCCGCCAAGAAGAAAAACAACAACAACCGACGCTCTCGACAGTCCAAGCAAGGAAAGGGCCAGCGTGCTGAGGATGATGGTCAAGCTATTGAGGGTTCACCCGCCAGTGGCCGAGGCAAGGGATGGAGGCAAACACCAATCCTGCAGAGTACATCATCTTTCCAACCATTTCATTCTCTGAAAAAGAGCTCCAAGGGGCGCAAAGGCCTCCTCGATAACGGCTGGGCTTCTGAAGATGTCACAGAAGAGATGGGGGAGTTCGATTTTGAGAACAACCTTGCGAAGTTTGATAAACGCACCATTTTTGATCAGATGAGGAAGGAGGATCAAATCGACGATGCCAGCCGATTGGTGTCTCACAATCGAAAGCCAAAGCCTGGCACAGCTGGCGGAAAGAATCTGCATTACACCGAAAATGTACTGGACCTGCCGTCCTCAACTAAGAAGGATGCAGACTTCTGGAATAGTGAGGCAGATGATGGATTGAACGAGGCTGAGAGGCTTTGTGGACGGGAGGTTCGTAGTGGTCAAGGTAATAGGAAGGCTGATAGCAAATCGGGTCCGTCACGAAGATCACAGTCACGCAAGGCGAGCGCTGTTGCAGTTTCTGGCGGCCTTCCGCTAAGCCGCGTCAATTCTGGCGTACGTGCAAGCCACCTGTCTCGGTTGTCGATCTCACGACCAGAGTCTCGCAGTACTAACAGTAGACAGCAAGGTCATCCGCCTGGCTTATACCTCGTCCCTTCGCATAAGCGTCTTGAAACCGTTTCAGCCCTGCAGATGCTTAATCTTGAGAACATAGCAGCGAACGAGATCGGCTTAACAGAACAGCTTATGGCCGAGAACGGAGGGCGAGGTATCGCTGAGGTTGCTCTGATAGCCCTTTCAGATCCTGCTATCAAAGTACGGTTCGGCCTTGCTGGTGCAAATCCCTCCTCCAGTGCTACATTGACGAGTCCGGTGGTGGTGATCCTGGCTGGCAATAACAAATCAGGTATCCGAGCTATTGCTGCTGCTCGCCATCTGCGGAACAAGAACATCAACATGCTCGTGTGCTTAGTGGGTATTGAGCGCGAGAAAGACTTGCTCGAAGACCTGCGGCAACAGATTCAACTTTATCGAGCTTTTGGCGGCAAAATTCTCAGCAAGGCAGATCTGTTTGAACATTTGCGCAAAGCATCATCGTCAGGATCACCTGTCTCAGTATCACTCATCATCGATGCTCTTCTGGGCTTGACCATATCGTTTGAAGAGCTGCGAACTGGTGACCAGGCTGCTGTTTATGAGTTGATGGAGTGGGCGAACCGAAACGAAGCGTTCGTGCTATCGGTCGATGTGCCAACAGGGATCGACCCAACTTCCGGTAAAGTGGCAGTGATAGATGGTAGCCGCCTATTCGTGAAGCCTCGATACGTTGTTGCAATGGGTGCTCCCAAGCGGGGCCTGCTTGAAGCCGTGACACCACCCGATGAGGATGACCCCCAGAACATGAACAATGCCGGACACGAAGAGGAATGGCGTCTATTCATTGCGGACATTGGCCTAGGAAGTGCCGTTTGGAGGAAGGCTGGAACCAAGATTCGAAGAGGTATCGACTTTGATGAGAAGTGGTTACTGGAGATGAAGTATCGGGATGGACAGCAGGACGGAACCGACTCAGATGAGGAATGATGTACCGCACGAAACCAGCGAGAACATGCATTCATGACGTGAGAAAGGGGAAGTAGAAACGAAGGAGAGCAAAAAGTTCAGCGATTGTTTTACCTGTTGCATGGGAAATGGCCAGTGGGAAGATGCATTTTGGGCAATATTTGGCGTTTGGTGGGTTTTATTTTGGCGCTTAAGGGCATGCATTGTTACATTTGAGGTCAAAAGGGGACCAAATACCCAGGAGTTCAGTCAAAATAAGATGCTTTTTATATGTAGATAGCTTTTCTGGTGGTTTCACTATTGCCGCTGTAGCTACTGTAAAAATATCCATAGCTGCTGCAGTTGTTTTGTGTTTTGGTCGAAGACTGATTAACGAGACGAGCCAAGTCCGCCAAGAGTATGGAGAAGGTTGGAGAGAGGCCAAGTTTAAGTTAAGCTACGGGGAGAAAACTAAGCTTTGCCAAGCATATTGTGAATTTGTTGTGCATGTGCAGGCTTGGCATTTTATAAAAGCTTGATTGGGTTTATGCCAATACTGTTATATGACGTGAGAACTGTGAAAGGGGAGGCCAACGAGCGGGTTTGTTTTGAGTCTCTGTACCTATTGATTACCTAGGTATAAAATCTACAGGTAGTATAGTGCCTAGGGAGACTGGTATGTTGTGAAAACATAGAAAACAGTCCGATATTGGGTGTGGTTATAGCTGCATCAATCAACAGCTCGAGAATAGCGCTTCTGATTTTGTTTGGCAGGGCAATGGTCGATTGATTGGCAGCAGCAGCACGTGGTCGGAGAATTGCTAGAGCCTAGTCTGATTTTAGGTTTGATTTTAGGTTTGGGTTCATCGGCTAAGCCGACAAGAAGAAGCTGGTGATGCTAGATGTGTAGATACCTATCCAAGAGCGAAGACTCTTTAGCTGTTATAAAATCGAGGTTGCCAGGTATTGTTGGTCAACTTTTTTCATATCATTTGCCCGTCTCTCTCTGGTCATTGATTGGTCGTTTCATGTTCTCAAGGGATCACACTATCGAGAGTCAATCTTGATATTTTGTGGGAAACCCGGGTGATCTTTTCCGTACTTATTCCCCAGAGTGCACAGTGCGGATGGCTGAGTGTAGGTAGCATATGCATTTTAGTGTGGGCATTCGATGTGTTGAAAAACTGCAGACACTTTCAGTCCAGAACATCAAGGATTTGATAGCTGCAGTCTTCCAGTCTCTATCTATTGTTGACAAATATTATGGTGAATCCTTGGTCACCCTCTACACTCATTCACACCAGAAAATAAGCATATCTGATCGTGTCAGCACCCTGACTCCTTTGACATAAAGAGGGGTCATATTGGTTTGACCATTGACTGAGAGAATTGGGGATGAGACGAAAGGGAATAAATTGAGCGCACATCCAGGGTATTGATGCGTTTTGGGGGCTGGGAGAGGGCGGGGGCTGTAATTCGACACCATTCCACTAAGCCACAGGGCTGACTGTGTAAGTAATGGAAGGTACCTACAACATCTGCTACCAGGCGTCATCAATTGAATGGATTGGATCCATGCATGGAGGTTGATTGCCGTTGATGATGAACGGTCCGAAAGTTTGACTGCAGCCAACCGATGAACCGATGAACGGTTGTGCATACATATGCTTCATTACATTTTAGCTTTAACCGACTTCCAATCTCATGATCGGTCAAGTGCCTTTTTCAAAAATGGTTTGTTTGTTCTAGAATCACATCCAGAAAGTCACACGTGCCACTGACAGCCCAGGAGATGTTACTCAAAGATCAGTAACACTTAACTAACGCTCTCTCTGCAAAGGCGCACAACAGAGCTCATGGAAATGCGATCGGACAATATAATCACTACGAAATTACATACGTAATTGCCACTCGAGACTAAGTTAAATGACACAAGATCACCATGGGCTATAAATAAAGTCGAGATCTATAGGTACCATTGTCCCAAGGACAACTGATTGCAAGTACCTACCTATGTATTGACAGCACCTAACAGTTCATACAGTGCGTCGCTTGAAGACGAAACATCGAAAGCCCACCACCTCATCCATGGAGTGAGCCGTCACTAAAATCCTCAAAATAAACCAGTTTCCCCAGTATTTCCCCTCTGTCATACTGTTCCACAAGCAACCTAACATTGTAATTTCTCAACCACGCGGCGAGGCGAGACGAACGGACCAGGAGCTTATTTCTCTCTGCTCAGAGGCCAGACTCAACTTTTCTTCTCCTCAGCTTCTTAGCATCCACATCCCATCTTTGAGGCTTCTTCGACCCTTCGAGATCGCCACCTAACGTTTCCCGATCCCCGAGACTGGTCTTCCTGCATACCTACCATCCACGCGACAATCGACAGTGGGAAAGGCCAAGATTTCTGGGCGCCCAGAGTCACAGCCTCTCTATTGTACAGTATTACGACCACGACTTTAGAATCCAGACTCCAGACTTCAGACTCCCTGTGTCATTCTCAATTACTTTCGCCTACACAATATTTTTGAGATTCAGAACTCCCGAGCTCCGCCTCCTTCCATTACCAGTCAAAGGCCCGCCTTAATCAATCACGCCCCCGACACTACACTACTGTACTTACCAGGAACTGAAGCCCGGATCCAATCAATCCGCGTTTGAATCCTCCTGTTCCTTTCCCCACGATCTCTTCCCCAAATCGCGCCCCGAACACACTCGTTTTCTCTTCATCGATAATCTCCAACAATTACCGCGTCTCGTCGAATTCAGGTCTAGATTGAGAGATCCGAAAATCACGAGCTGCTGCCTGTCGAAACTACCGCATCGCTTACTCTTCGAAACGTGCCTCTCATGGCGACCGCCTAAGCGACCCCCCCGATTCATAATCCTCGCCCCGACCGAACTTGCGAACCTCGTCGCTCGCGGCTGGCCATACTATTGCGTGTTGACTCATAGGATAACCGGCCAGCCGCAATCATGGCTGCTGCCGCCGCCCTCGACATGGTTTCCGCAACCATCACGGGGCTGCCGTCGTTGTGCACGACGACTCTTCTGCCCGACAGTGGCGTTATGACACTGGGATTCGACGGCGTCCCTGTACCATTGACCGAGCCGGCTGTGTATCAAGTCCCATGTCCGACCCCCGATCTCTTGCCTCGAGCCGAGTACTCCGTGACGGTCGCTGCTTCAGGCGACGAGAGCAGCCTCACTCAGCATGATGCAGCTGACAGCAGCCCCAAATTCTCCGACTTCCGCGACCCCTTTTACGCCTCGACTTTTCCGATATGCTACGCCCTTGCCGCAACTACCGTCACCGCTTACATGCTCGTTATTATGCTATTTGTCACCCCACGATCGTTTCTTGATGGAGGAATCGTTTATCTGGGCCGACGATCCGCTTTCACTCACAGCTCTTCCAGCAGTGTCACGATCGGTGGCCGGCCATGGCTACAGAAAGTTGCAGCTTTGACCGTTGCCATCTCGCTAACGATTGCCTCGGCTGACACCTTTCATGCCGCCAAAAGTCAGTACATGTGGGGGATCCAGAACGCGAATCAACTGCAGGATGAAGTGATGAATAGCGTGGAACTCAAAGTTATCCGGCTCGTCTCCGATACTTTTCTGTGGCTGGCTCAGGCCCAGACTCTGATCCGACTCTTTCCCCGGCACCGAGAAAAGATCATTATCAAATGGGTCGCGTTCGCACTAATCACTCTCGATGTTGTCTTTAGTGCCATTACCAGTTTCAAATACTCGGAAAATGGCATCAACACCACCGCGCGACCCAAAAACTTTGTTCATCCCGTGCCCGCTCTCAGCTATCTGTTTCAGCTCTCCCTCGGGCTCTTGTACGCAGCATGGGTTGTTTACTATGCGCTAATGAAGAAGCGCTACTCTTTCTACCATCCCTTTATGAAGAACATAAGCTTCGTCGCCATCATCTCGCTTATCTCAATCCTGATTCCCGTGGTGTTTTTCATTCTTGATATCTCCCAGCCTGATTTCACTGGATGGGGAGATTACGTGCGATGGGTTGGTGCTGCAGCTGCCAGTGTAGTAGTCTGGGAGTGGGTGGAAAGGATCGAGGCTCTAGAGCGAGAGGAGAAGAAGGACGGCATACTTGGACGTGAAGTATTTGACGGAGACGATACACTCGAAATCAACGCATCCGAGTTCCCATGGCTCCGCAATCGCAAGAGCCGAAAAGGAGGCAGTTCGGGAAGTAGTGGCGACGGTGATCGACAGCAAATGTCTTCGTCTGCTGTCAACGGTTGGCCGACTGTTTCCTCCATTGCCAACAGATACCGAGGGCAGAGCAATGGTGCTTTTGCCGAGACTAGTGAACAATCCACACAAAGAGGCACAGGCAGAGGTTTGCGGCCCAACATCTGGCCAGCTCGCCCGGCGCCTGCTGTGACTCCTATCAGCCGAACAGATACCGCCAGCGCAGCCAGCACGGTCTATGCCGTGAGATATCAAGCACCCTCAGAAACCACATCGCGGACACCAGACCCTCTACCGCAACCGAGTGTGGTCGATTTGAGTCAACAGAGCAGCACTCCCCCAAGCCAGCACACGCATGATGAATCCAGTTCTTCAAATCAAGCTCCAGCTTCTGTACAACATGGGCATGTCGTGTCATCGCCATCACAACAATCTGCCGATCTAGAAGCAAACCTGACAAACCCACCACCTCAGGGCGGTTGGCGAGGTCTCGCATTTGCCGGCCCGAGATCTGGTCACTTGGGTGAGGATGCGACAAGGGAGATGACCCAGCAATCAGAGAACAATCCAGTCGCGGAACGCGAAGGAAGGACAAGCAGTTCGAGCCGGTGGGATCTGAGAGCTCGCCTGGAAGATTTCGCGGCCAATCAAGCAGAGAAATTACGGGACCGCATGCGCACAGCTCCCAACACCGAGAGTCTTCCTGTAACAGTTATTCCGGCACCTCCGCGAAGAGGAGCAGCGCTGCAGCAGGTGCTTGAGGAAGAAGAGCTCAACACATCAGAGCAGGGCTCGCCAGGTCGCGAACCTTTTACGTCACAAAACAGGAGCACGAGCAGTCCCAGCAATGTATCGCGAGACGCAACAGGAGAGATTGCACAACTCGACAGGAGTCGAAGCACGTTCTCAGGCAGCCAGGGCGATGGGCCGATCCCACCAAACAACCCACCACTATGGCGGGGTGTTCGGCCGAGAATGACTGCCGACGAAGATTACTATGATGATTCTGACGATGGATCACTGTCGGGCAGGTCATCATTGGATCATCGGAGGCAAGATTCGGACTCATCTGGTCTCCACCGGACGAGTTGAGAACTTTGTGCTGATAGTTGTGCACTTAGCGAGGCGTTGTTTTCTGCTCTCTGATTTGATGAGCATCTGGATGATTTATATGAATGATACCCCAGGAATGAGTATAGTAGAGTTTTGCGTGTATATCTACGGGATGGGAGGGAACAGACATGGGCATCATGCTTGGGATTGGATCCTGTATATGCTAGATGGGCTGACCTTGAAGGAAGGCAACGGCATTAATGTTGGAAGTATGCATGGATGCTCATAGTCAGAACGGCCTTTTCATCTGGAAAGGACATGCCGAATATGGCGTGTGTTAGTGTGGTAAATAGACTATAAAAGAACAACACGATGAAATCAACGGTTATACAATCATAGAGACATTTGTTTAACAATCGAATGGCCAGAAGCACGAACTCTGGTGCCGTGATCATTTGATGCCTCTCGTAAGCGGAGGATGTTGACATGTTTGGAGGTAACGTTGGCTGATGGTTTGAAATACGTAGAAAATAACGTTCGGCATGACGTAGTGATGCATGTTAGCTGCAACGTCTGCAAATGAAAATGGACTAGAGACAATCCCGTGCCAAAGCGAAAAACATCAATTCTCGGCAAGCTCGGAAGACGACAGGACATGAATCATGGCAGATGGGATGATGATAGAGATAGGGGGGGATAGGGGATGATTGCGCTATCGCAAGTTCCTTCACATGTTCACACTGGATCCAATGATTTTTGGTTAGGCCTGGGCACGGAGATTAATGAGAAAAACTTGGATTGACTAAGTGACTTTTTAGAGTTTGTATGGCTCCGCCATCATTACATGACGATGCATCAAGCAGAATCCAATATCAGACAAATCATGGCACAAAACATAATAATACCGACATCGCAATATTACAAGGAATGATGATTAGATACCCTCTGTGCAACAATGGACTCCGCGGGCCACCGAACACCACAGAAAAGTCAGCTCTGCAGGTAATGAGATCCTGTGAGACCCTTGGATAATCTCAATTTTGGAGCCCGCGGAGCCAGGAGGCCTATTTTGTTCCCCACATTGTGGGAAGTTGAGTGCTTCTAGAGGGGCTGAGGAAGGATTTGAAGCCATAAGAAAGAGACGAAAATCCGGGGGGGGGATCAGGTCCGCTTAAACTCTATCGCTATAAGCTTGAATATGAGTTTCATGTATGTTTATATATTCCAGTGGCATCCGCATAACGGGAACTAACATTAAACAGCAGATGGTAACTAGGTGCTGGCTTACAGTTGCTTCAGCGTTGAGATGATGGACGGAATGGAGATGGAAGAACCAAGTAAGCCCCCCATATACGTCCCAATCTGACCAATCATCAGACCCCTTGCCGCCTCGGCTTACCCACCCTAAAAATCTCCCCCTCCACTATCCACTAGCAACTCCCTCTAATACAACTTTCCAGCACGCGACGATCCCGCACAATCCGCGACTCTCCTTCATTGCTCGTCTTCTGTTTCCTCGTTTTCGTCTTTATCTCTTCGTTGCATTGAAATACGGGAGAAGAGCCGCTCAGGTCGAGCAAGAAACACGTTCCTTTTTCTCTCTACAGCGACTTGTCACTATTTGCGACTTCCGTCCCTACTAGACCGGCCTTGACCTATACGCGGACTCTTTTGCGACAAGAAAACTCCACTTCAAGGCGTCCAACGAAATAGGGGTGCAACGTCTACAAGCTAGTTTACCGCAGAAATTCTCGGCAACTAATATTTACAATATCGAAACCGGAATATTCTTCTGGGGAAGCTCGCAAGTACAACATCAAAGACCAGACGAGACGAGACGAGACATGTCAGGCTCAGAACCCTTTCCGCTGCTAAACACGGCCAACGATCAGCTGCATCAGCGTCGTCCTGCAGACCAAGCAGATTCCTACGTCAGCAATACCACAGCCACCCAAGACACCATCAACAACGCCCGGAGGCGACGTAAGAGTAGTCTTTTGGGCGGCGAGATCAGAGGTGACACGGGTGCTCCGGCATTGGCTTCTAGTCGTGCCAGTCTCGAAGCCTCAGATAACCACTCCAATGGTCACGTACGTCACATTTCCTGCCCTGCCCTGCCCTGCCCTGCCTTGTTCTGTTCTGTTCTGTCCTTGTCAGACAAGAACCACCTGTGCATGCTCCTGTGTACTAACACGTCGATGGAACAGTCCGACGGCCGCAAGCGCCTCTCAAAACGACGCCGTGCTCGTGGCCTCATCGGCCGAGCCAAACAGACCATGATCAAGCATACTTTCGTCCTCCCTGCCGTCCTCCTCGTCTTCTTCCTCGTTGGATATGCCATCAACCCTACCGAGTCCAACCCTATCCATCACTTCATCTTCTTGTCGTACAAGCTTCCTCAAGATGACCCTAACGAGCCTGCGCAGTACGGAAAGGGACGCTGGGATATCGCCTTTGTTGGTTTCTACACAATTGTCCTCTCCTTCACTCGTGAATTCATCATGCAGGAGCTCCTGTCACCACTGGCCCGCTACTACAATCTCACCCGTGGTAAGAAGGCCCGTTTTATGGAGCAGGTCTACACTGCTCTCTACTTCGGCGTCCTTGGTCCCGCCGGTCTCTGGGTCATGAGCCACACTCCTGTGTGGTACTTCAATACCCATGGCATGTACGAGGGCTTCCCTCACCGAACTCATCTTGCACCAGTCAAGTTCTACTATCTGTTCGAGGCCGCGTACTGGGCTCAGCAGGCCATTGTGCTTCTCCTGGGTATGGAGAAGCCTCGCAAGGACTTCAAGGAGCTTGTTGGTCACCATGTTGTCACCCTCGGGCTCATTGCCCTGAGTTACCGGTTCCACTTCACCTACATTGGTCTGGCAGTCTACGTCACCCACGATATCAGTGACTTCTTCCTCGCTACGTCCAAGACGCTCAACTACATTGATTCTCCCCTTGTCGGACCTTATTTCGGAGTCTTCATGGTTGCTTGGATCTATCTGCGTCACTTCCTCAACTTGAAGATCATTTGGTCCCTTCTCACCGAATTCGAGACCGTTGGCCCCTTTGAGCTCAACTGGGAGACTCAGCAATACAAGTGCCGTATCGCACAGGTCATCACCTTCGCACTCCTCTCGTCCCTTCAGGCCTTGAACTTGTTCTGGCTCTTCTGCATTGCTCGAATTGCTTGGCGATTCCTCAGCCAGAACGATCTCCAGGATGATCGATCTGAGGATGAGGACGATGATGTCGAGGAAGAGGAAGAGATGCCTGCCTCTGCCCTCAAGACCAACGGCAAGGCAAATGGCTTCGCCAACGGACATACCAATGGTCATGCCATCAGCAAGATCCCTGAAGATGCAAAGAACTAGATGAATTCGCACCTCAGGTTGGCATCTGAAACTAATGGAAGGGAACTGCCAGAGGAAAGGACTTATTCGACCTACTTTGTTTCCAGGAAAGTATCGGAAAAACGAAGAGAGGGTTGGTGAGACGAATTAATGGATCAACATCATCTAATGACCACATCGAGCGAGGGATGCCACGAAACGGGCGCATAGCTGTATTTCTCACTTTCTTTTTGAGACCACGGGGGCAGCAGGATGGGAAATGGATGGTAATGGAGTTCAACTGGGAGTGGTTGGACCTCACTGTCGCTTTTGTATCAAACATGCCGGCGTTCCGAGGGAGTCCGAACTAAACGGACTAATTATATCTGCTGTTGTGTTGCGGTGGTAGGTTGCCGAGTTGGACAACAGACAGCCATACATTCTTCACATGCGTGTACGGATCGTGCACACATGCACATGTTGGCTTGTCGTCTGAACATTGGGAGCCAAGAGGGCTTCATTCAAATGAGGCAGTCGCAACGTCTTTCGACGAACTCGTCCGGCCATTTTGGAAAAGGAGGGCTCCTCACTTATATATGCAATACTCGCTGGCCTCAAGTCACCCTACCGCATGCACCTCGGCAGTACACCATCTCCCTCGGGCCATGTATGCAAGCAAGCACCTATCTTCTTGTACAATCAAGCTTGTCACTATCTATACGAACACACTTAATAATATTACCACTTTGACGCTTGCTACCTCTACTCCCCAACCCGCGTGCTATTCACACTCCTAGCCCCATTTAGCTATTTTCGTGTTCATCGGTAGTGAATGGATAGCTTACGTTTTTGCAGCTGGAACCCTCAACACGCGTCCGAGGCCCGATTACTAACTCGCCTCTCGTGTTGGAAAGCATACGCATACAACAGATCTCACTTATTACCTACCGGTATGCACTCTATGAGGTGGGGATATAACCCCCAATTTTGCCTCTTGTGGAGACTATCCCAGACCCTTAAAAACACCGCATCACGCTGGAGGCGCACGCGTAAGCCGATACGAGCGAGCTCCAATATCTCCTCCGTACGGTGAGAAAGGTCCTGCATGGGAAATCAGTCAGAAATAAAACGTGTGCCTATCATTCGCCTGTCTAAGTCGTGGGTAACTCTACTATGTCGCAGTCAGTCCACTTGAATTTCTTAGCGTAGTAGCGAGACTCAAGATGGAGTCTGAGAGAGAATATCTGCACAATGCATGCATCCATGCACGCATGGGCATGCCCCCTTGCCTTGTCCGGCGGGAAGAATGGCAGTTTAAAGTGTGCACATCCACTCGGGACAGGGCTTGTATGCACTGCGACATTGATACAACTTTATATGTGAAGGCATAGCTAGACTGCTCTACTCTACGCACACCGTACGCTCAGAATCAAGCAATCGGGCGGCGCAGCACATCACCACAGGATGAAGAGTGTGCGACGTAGACCTGAGATTCGCGGAGGTTAGCCGCCGGGAGATAACCATACGCCGTAGACATACAGAAGACAAGCAACGACTTACAGTAACCGAGTCTCGGGTGCCCCATACCATTTCCTAATGGCGTCAAAATATATTCCCTTTCAGGGGTCAATGCTACTACGGTGAGGCGCTTGTTGGACCCCCTCTCGCCGTGGATCCCGGCATCCGGGGTCGCGGGTACGGGTCAAGTGGGTCAATTCTACCGAGCACAGCCTCAATGTAACGGAACGGAGTACGGTCCGTAAAACACAACAACGACGACACATTTCCTCAAACGTTGCCACCCTCGAAACGAGTTGAAACGCGTCGCGGTATCTGTCACACATATTCCGGCATACAATAACACGTGGAAATACCAAAGCGAATCACTAACCAAGAGTTAGAACACAAAGACTTCATTCGATTACTCGCCTGCTATGTATGCTATGCTATGCTAGTCCATACTTCAATATGCTTTGACTCAGGTAAGATACCTTGCATTACATGCTATGTTGGGCCCCGAAATAGACACGACTCAGCTTGTTGTCTTCTGTCGAACAGTGTCCTTGCCTCCTCTTCGAGAGATTTTAGACCATCGAATGTAAGATAGCAAGAGGTCATTATTTTCTCCTTGTCCTAAGTAGCAATCCATTCACCTGCAGCCCCATTCTTGTTGAACGGGCCAGTCGATTCACAACCGTTTCCCCCGCATGAGCGGTCTGTTTGTCTAAAGACCTAGAAGTCTCCTGTATAAAGACCTCGCCTCCCTCAGCCACTCATTTGCATCCTCTTCTGAGGATATCATGTGTGCAATGTCGCGTGCTGTGTCGAGAGCGTCGAGCCGGTCGTCGCAGATAAGAGAAATTCCGATCAATCCATATGCCCCTTATATTCGGCCTAAGCCATGTCCCAATTCAAAAGCAAATCGTGATATCCGTAAACGCCTGCATATGTACCCTGCCATGACAATTACTGTGCTATATAGCACGTTGCAACACAAACGTTTGATTGCATTAACCCCCCTTTCCTATTGCCTTGATGATAAGGTTGAAAATATTCACTCGAGTGCCTTGATGCAGGCTGTTTCGAGATGATTAATCGGACTCCGATGATCCGATGCATTAAACACTAGAAGCAAAACGCCTCAACACCGATCCGATGCAATCTTGATGCCGAACCTATGGGTGAAACGTCGTAGGCGGAGATGGTGCTTCGTAAGCCAAGTAGATAAAATGAGAACGTGGAAGAGTTGTGATGAGAATTAAGTTAGAGGGTAGCTTCGTCAATCCCCAGTGGTGAAGATGTTACGGCGATTGACAGTAAGGTTGTGTATATTGGCGAAACACTGGGGTGCTGAAACGCGAAGCGATAGCTTACTTTCGCTCCATTGAGTGCTCCTCGCTGTGGCTCGACTCTGCGTCTGAGCATGACGAAGAGGATGTGTGTGTATCATCCTCATGGCCTTGTGAACCTGAGCCGGATATGCTTCCTGAGGATCCTAGACCGTTGTAGCTGTCAATAGCACCGTCTGAATTCCTTTTTGGTCCCATTTTAGCCTTGCGAAGGGCCCTGGCAGCTTTCAGTTGCGCTTCACGAGCCACATTGAGGGCTCGCTCGGCTCGGATTTGCTTCTCCCACATCGAGGCATATCGCCCCTTAGCGGTCAGGAGTTCTTCATGAGTTCCCTTCTCAACAATTGTTCCGGAGTTAAGAACAATGATTTGATCGGCGTGTGTGATCGTAGATAGTCGATGTCTAATTGATGTTAGTAGGAAAGCTGTGGAGGGTATGGGGCGGTTACATACGCAATGATGAGCAAAGTTCGGCCCTGCCCAATGTTCCACACATTATCTTGAATCTCCTGCTCAGTATGCGAGTCTAGTGCTGATGTGGCCTCGTCCAGCATGATGATACGCGGGTCTTTGAGAATTGTTCGTGCGATGGCGACTCGCTGCTTTTCGCCACCACTCAAACGGAGACCCCGCTCGCCGACCTGTGTGCTGTATTGATCTGGAAATGATAGGATGCGGTCATGAATGCTGGCGGCACGGCATGCTTCATAAACCTCCTCGTCTGTGGCGGAGGGTCTTGCATACTTAAGGTTGTACATCAAGGTCTCATTGAAAAGCGTTGTGTCCTGGGGAACGACACCAATCTTCTCCCTGACTGAGTTGATGGTCAGATCCTTGACATTCTTCCCGTCCAACTCGATTGATCCTTCATCGCAGTCGTAGTAACGGAACATGTGACGAAACAAGGTAGACTTGCCTCCACCTGACTCGCCCACAAACGCTGTTGTGGTACCAGGCAGACATTCGAAGGAAATGTTGCGTAGCGCGGGTTTTCGTCGGTCATAGGCGAAGCTGACGTTGTTCCAACGCACATGACCTTGGAAGTCCTTGCCCAGAGGGACAGCATGGGGCGTATCCACTACCGTTGGCTGGATCTTGAAAAGCTCAAGTAATCTCTCACCTGAGATCATGGCCTGCTGTACGGTCCGGTAAAAAGTACCAAAAAAGTTCAGGGGACCCTGTAGTTGTGTCAAGTATGAGACTACCATGAACCAGTCACCAGTGGTGCGATGATCCATACCCATGGCGACTTGCCAGCCACAGACCAAGGCAGCGATGATCCTACCGAGGTTGAAAACAACGGTTTGGCAAATATTCATCATCATCATGCCCATCTGAACCTTTGCCTCAGCATTTTGGAAGACTGCAACCTTGCCTTGGTACCGTCTGGACTCGAAATCTTCGGCATTGAAGTATTTGACTGTTTCGTAACTAGAGATTGAGTCGTTCTTTACTGCTTCCTCTTCGCGGTCGGCGTTGGTCATTTCGCGACGCTGATCCGCTCGAGTGGAAGCCATCTTGATAGTCATGTAGAGATACCAACAAGTATCAACCAGGTTGATCTCAGCATACAGTGGGCCGTAATAATAGTAGAAAACCGAGATTGCGAGGAAAAGATCGAAAAGCATTGGAAAAACCTGGAAGGTTACTTGCTCGAGAAATTGGTTAATGGAAGAACCTTTGTTGAGAGCTGATAGGACCTCCCCAGTGCGCTTAGAGAGGTGGAAATCGAGACTCAGAGAGTGGACGTGGTTGAAGGCCGCTGTCGTTAGTCCCCGATACGAATATTGCGAGACGGGAATCCAAAGAATTGATCTCAACGATCCCAGAAGTCCCGATTGACCTTGAAGGATCCACAAGACTCCCAGGATCAAAAAGTCCTTCAATGGGAAGTTGTCCATGGAAAGGCGTTCGCCCTCTTGAACATCTTTGATCACGTCCTCGAGATCATTTACCACTTGTTTGACTGCCATCGGAACAGCTACGTTGACCAAACGCTGTAGCATCACCAAGATGAAACAGATGAGAACATTTATCTGAAGTCTGACAGAGTCCTTGGGCCAGAGGTAAGGGAAGAAAAGCGAGTACCCCTTAAGATACTCCCACCACGTCTTGTGTGGTAGCTTTTCGGGTCGATAAAAGGCAGCAGGTTCTTCCTTCTTAGGGAAACTCGGTGTCTTGTGTGCGTTTGAC